CCTGCCTACACAGAATCTACACATTCAATCTACGCTCCTGTGTACTCTCCAACATTTTGTGTACGCCCCAACATTTTATGTACCCCAACATTTTATGTACCCAAACATTTTATGTACCCCAACATTTTATGTACCCCAACTTTTTATGTACGCCCCAACATTTTGTGTACGCCCCAACATTTTATGTACGCCCCAACAATTTATGTACGCCCCAACATTTTAAGTACGCCCCAACAATTTATGTACGCCCCAACAATTTATGTACGCCCCAACATTTTGTGTACCCCAACATTTTATGTACCCCAACTTTTTATGTACGCCCCAACATTTTATGTACGCTCCAAATTTGTGTGTACGCCCCAACAATTTATGTACGCCCCAACATTTTATGTACGCTCCTGTGTACGCACCAACATTTTATGTACGCCCCAACATTTTATGTACGCTCCTGTGTACGCACCAACATTTTATGTACGCCCCAACATTTTGTGTACGCCCCAACATTTTATGTACGCCCCAACATTTTATGTACGCCCCAACATTTTGTGTACGCCCCAACATTTTATGTACGCCCCAACATTTTATGTACGCCCCAACATTTTATGTACGCCCCAACATTTTGTGTACGCCCCAACATTTTATGTACGCCCCGACATTTTATGTACACCACAACATTTTATGTACGCTCCTGTGTACGCCTCAACATTTTATGTACGCTCAACATTTTATGTACGCCCCAACATTTTGTGTACGCCCCAACATTTTATGTACGCCCCAACATTTTATGTACGCCCCAACATTTTGTGTACGCCCCAACATTTTATGTACGCCCCGACATTTTATGTACACCACAACATTTTATGTACGCTCCTGTGTACGCCTCAACATTTTATGTACGCCCCAACATTTTGTGTACGCCCCAACATTTTATGTACGCCCCAACAATTTATGTACGCCCCAACATTTTGTGTACGCCCCAACATTTTATGTACGCCCCAACAATTTATGTACGCCCCAACATTTTATGTACGCCCCAACAATTTATGTACGCCCCAACATTTTATGTACGCCCCAACAATTTATGTACGCCCCAACAATTTATGTACGCCCCAACATTTTATGTTCCCCAACATTTTATGTACCCCAACATTTTATGTACGCCCCAACATTTTATGTACGCCCCAACATTTTGTGTACGCCCCAACATTTTATGTACCCCAACATTTTATGTACCCCAACATTTTATGTACGCCCCAACAATTTATGTACGCCCCAACATTTTGTGTACGACCCAACATTTTGTGTACGCCCCAACATTTTATGTACGCCCCAACAATTTATGTACGCCCCAACATTTTGTGTACGCCCCAACATTTTATGTACCCCAACATTTTATGTACCCCAACATTTTATGTACGCCCCAACATTTTGTGTACGCTCCAACATTTTGTGTACGCCCCAACATTTTATGTACCCCAACATTTTATGTACGCCCCAACATTTTGTGTACGCCCCAACATTTTGTGTACGCCCCAACATTTTGTGTACGCCCCAACATTTTATGTACCCCAACATTTTATGTACGCCCCAACATTTTATGTACGCTCCAACATTTTGTGTACGCCCCAACATTTTATGTACCCCAACATTTTATGTACGCCCCAACATTTTGTGTACGCTCCTGTGTACGCCTCAACAATTTGTGTACGCCCCAACATTTTATGTACGCCCCAACATTTTGTGTACGCCCCAACATTTTATGTACGCCCCAACATTTTGTGTACACCCCAACATTTTATGTACGCCACAACATTTTGTGTACGCCCCAACATTTTGTGTACGCCCCAACATTTTGTGTACGCCCCAACATTTTATGTACGCCCCAACAATTTATGTACGCCCCAACATTTTAAGTACGCCCCAACATTTTATGTACGCCCCAACAATTTATGTACGCCCCAACATTTTGTGTACCCCAACATTTTATGTACCCCAACTTTTTATGTACGCCCCAACATTTTGTGTACGCCCCAACATTTTGTGTACGCCCCAACATTTTATGTACGCCCCAACATTTTGTGTACCTCAACATTTTATGTACGCCCCAACATTTTATGTACGCTCCAAATTTGTGTGTACGCCCCAACAATTTATGTACGCCCCAACATTTTATGTACGCTCCTGTGTACGCACCAACATTTTATGTACGCCCCAACATTTTGTGTACGCCCCAACATTTTATGTACGCCCCAACATTTTATGTACGCCCCAACATTTTATGTACGCCCCAACATTTTGTGTACGCCCCAACATTTTATGTACGCCCCGACATTTTATGTACACCACAACATTTTATGTACGCTCCTGTGTACGCCTCAACATTTTATGTACGCCCCAACATTTTATGTACGCCCCAACATTTTGTGTACGCCCCAACATTTTATGTACGCCCCAACATTTTATGTACGCCCCAACATTTTGTGTACGCCCCAACATTTTATGTACGCCCCGACATTTTATGTACACCACAACATTTTATGTACGCTCCTGTGTACGCCTCAACATTTTATGTACGCCCCAACATTTTGTGTACGCCCCAACATTTTATGTACGCCCCAACAATTTATGTACGCCCCAACATTTTGTGTACGCCCCAACATTTTATGTACGCCCCAACATTTTGTGTACCCCAACATTTTATGTACCCCAACATTTTATGTACCCCAACATTTTATGTACGCCCCAACAATTTATGTACGCCCCAACATTTTGTGTACGACCCAACATTTTGTGTACGCCCCAACATTTTATGTACGCCCCAACAATTTATGTACGCCCCAACATTTTGTGTACGCCCCAACATTTTATGTACGCCCCAACAATTTATGTACGCCCCAACATTTTGTGTACGCCCCAACATTTTATGTACGCCCCAACATTTTATGTACCCCAACATTTTATGTACGCCCCAACATTTTGTGTACGCTCCAACATTTTGTGTACCCCAACATTTTGTGTACGCCCCAACATTTTATGTACCCCAACATTTTATGTACGCCCCAACATTTTGTGTACGCTCCAACATTTTGTGTACGCCCCAACATTTTATGTACCCCAACATTTTATGTACGCCCCAACATTTTGTGTACGCTCCTGTGTACGCCTCAACAATTTGTGTACGCCCCAACATTTTATGTACGCCCCAACATTTTGTGTACGCCCCAACATTTTATGTACGCCCCAACATTTTGTGTACACCCCAACATTTTATGTACGCCACAACATTTTGTGTACGCCCCAACATTTTGTGTACGCTCTTGCCCCTAGTGTACACCCTCGTCTTTGTCTTATCTACGCCTCTGCTTATGGTGTATCTATGCTCCCACTTTGATATTTCTACGCCCTTGGTGTAGCTACGCCCCTGCCTACAACATGAACACACCTCTGCATACAACATGAACACACCTCTGCCTACAACGTTGGCACCCCTTGCATACAGTGTCCCAGCCCGTTATTTCTCCGACATCCAGTACATTATCGAGTTCCTACATCGGCTGCCACATACAATGGACACACCACAAGAGTCCTAGGACACGGAAACTGACCTACAATTTCCCAGAGATCGAACACTGAACACGGAAAATAAAAGCCACACGGAAACGTATTATAAAACTGTAGCTAGACAGTATGTTTCGTGTAGCTAGACAGTATGTTTCGTGTAGCTAGACAGTATGTTTCGTGTAGCTGGTTTCTAGACTGTCAAGTTTAGCTAGACAGTATGTTTCGTGTAGCTGGTTTCTAGACTGTCAGGTTTAGCTAGACAGTATGTTTCGTGTAGCTGGTTTCTAGACTGCTATCATCGTTCGTGTGGTCACGAGTGGTCACGTGTGGTCACGAGTGGTCACGTGTGGTCACGTGTGGTCATGAGTGGTCACGTGTGGTCACGTGTGGTCACGTGTGGTCACGTGTGGTCACGTGTGGTTGTATGCTGGACTGAAGGTGAAACGACGTTTTTTTCTTCTTTTTTTGTCGCTGTTTGCATCTGTGTGTGTTTGTATGTTGTTGTGTTTGTGAAAATTTGTATTTGTATATACGTCTGTATGTAGGTGTATGTAAGCGTGTATGTGTTTATACAGAAGTGTGTATGTGTTACTATGTGTGAGCGTCTATTTGTGGTTTAATATTGTTATGTATGTTGCTATATATGTATGTAAGTATGTATGTATGTATGTAGATGTGTGGGTGTGTGATTTGATGTGTGTGTGTGTGAGGTATGTCGGCCTAACGGTTATTTGTACTTTTATGTACGTGTCTGTATGTGGCTGTATGGTTGTTGATATGTTTTTGTATGTTTGTATTTTATGTATGTTTCTCTTTGTGAGTATATGTGTTTAAGTATGCATGTGTATGTCTGCATTAGTCTACGGTTGTATGTATGTGCAAGTACGTGTATGCATGTGTGTGTGTGTGTGTATGCCCTCTATAAAATAAATCTATATACAGGTATGTTAGGAGAACCAATAACAGCGGCTTATATTACCAACTCTCAACTGGATGTGAGAGATGGGGGGGGGGGGAGGTATGAAATACGTGGGTCCAATTCCTCCCCGCGAACTCCACTGGTTTTCACTTTTGGAAAAAAAACAAATCTTCGATCGTGCACAAACAAACCCGCTAACAATGACAGGAATGATTGCAGAAACAACTCGGGGTGGAACCGCCCCGAGAGTTACCGGCCCTTGTTTGCATGCGTCACCTGCTCTTAAAATAATATTTATTGTTGAAAACAATGGCGCTCTCCACAATCGAAGTTTCGTTTTATTCTTGTATAGATTTCATTTATCTGCGCGGTGTGCGTGTCTGCGCGCGAGCGAGCGTGTGTGTGTGTGTGTGTGGGAGTGTGTGTGTGAATACTAAAGTGAATTTGATTGGTTGGCCCATGCACGTGAAACAATGAAGCGTTACTCTGTCGTGCTGAGATCAGTGAGCACTGAGGGCTGTTCGAGTGAGCGAGATTGAGAAAAAAAAACGTCCCCATTCATCCCATGCGAGGTCAGTCAAACCGCTTATTCATGCTGAGGAGACCACGTTAGAGATATTTATTGTGTGGGGTGTTAAAAAAATGTTTAGATAATTGTTTTCTATTTTGGATATCGAGACAAGAAGTGAATTACGTTGGTCAACAAATAGGACAACAACCAGCGTAAGGACAGTTAATTAGATGTGTGAAGTTCAAAGGTAAACATTTTTACACGTTTTTATCGTCATTATATAATAATGTATGTTATAGTATATAATTCGGTCCCTAAACTTTTTCACTTGCAGGAATTATCTTAAAATGTGTTCATAACCTAAACATTTTTACTTGCTCATTTGTGTTTAGTCTCTAAACATTTTCACATGTTTATATTTGTTAAGTTTCTAAACATTTTCACATGTTTATATTTGTTAAGGCTCTAAACATTTTCACACGTTTATATTTGTTAAGGCTCTAAACATTTTCACATGTTTATATTTGTTAAGGCTCTAAACGTTTTCACATGTTTATATTTGTTAAGGCTCTAAACGTTTTCACATGTTTATATTTGTTAAGGCTCTAAACATTTTCACATGTTTATATTTGTTAAGTTTCTAAACATTTTCACATGTTTATATTTGTTTAGTCAGTCACTAACTTGTAAGACACCTGTCATAAACTATTGTCAAATGTTAACTGTCCTAAATTGTCCTATATAGTCCTACACTGTCCTACACAGTCCTTCACAGTCCTACACAGTCCTACACTCTCCTATGTTTTATTTCATAAGCTATACGATACTAAAGTAACATACCATAATATAGCATGTCCTAAACTAAAGTTCTAACCTAAAGTCCTAGTCTGTCTTATTGGATGCGCGATAAAACAGCTGTTTTTTCTGTGTCTGGACTTACGGTAAAACTTGTGTTTTCTGTGAACTCATTAAGACAGTGCTGTCCCACATAGAACGTCCCTCCGTGAACCAAAGGTCGAACAGCCTTGACCCCAAAGTCTGCCATTCTACAAAATATTTTTTGACGCGCAATTGTCACCGTTACGATACTGCTGCATAGTTTAGTAGTCGCTTCAAAAATAAATTTCTTTCTGGATACATCATCATAACAAGCCAACATAATGGATTTTATTTCTGGATAATTCAACAAATGGATGTTGTTGTTTCTGGATAAGTGAGCTCATGGATTATACCGTGCAGCCTGTAGTCTAGGAGTGGATGCCGTGGGTGAGTTGATTCCACGTCTGATGTTTGGGTCCCTCATAGATTGAGGGGGAGGGGGTACCGATCCTTGTGACACATTAGGCCCGCTCTTCTTGGTCCTGACAAAGTACCATGTCACACCACGTTACTGTCACTGTCACACATCTGTCAGAACATAGTTTCAAGAAATGTCAGTGTCATGACATGTCTATGTCAGGAAATGTTCGTGCAAGTCATTTCATATGTCATGCCAGTGTCTTGACATGTTAGTGTCATGTCAGTGTCTTGACATGCTAGTGTCATGTCAGTGTCTTGACATGCTAGTGACATGTCAGTGTCTTGACATGCTAGTGTCATGTCAGTGTCTTGACATGCTAGTGTCATGTCAGTGTCTCGACATGCTAGTGTCATGTCAGTGTCTTGACATGTTAGTGTCATGTCAGTGTCTTGACATGCTAGTGTCATAACATATCAGCCACGGTACGTCGGGATCACTTTCCCAGCTGTTTTCACGGATGATACCCAGAACTATTTATAGATTGATCACGTGCCCTACTGCACGTGCAGAATGTAATGTCGTCTGATATGAGAAGTGGGAATTCCCGCCGGAACAGTAAACTATTGATTGTTTACTCAGCATTAGTAAACTGGGTATGATTGTAAGATTGTATGATTGTATGATAGTATGATTAAAGGATTGGATGATTAAAAGGAAGAGCTAATTACGGTAATTTAACACGGTTTATTCGTCATTGGTTTAAAATAAAACTACACACAGAGTGTATGACTGTGTGCGTGTGAGTGCTCGTGTTTGTGTGTGTCTGAAAAAGAGTGTGAGTGTGTGTTTGTGTGGACTCGTCATTGCTTGAAGATAACAAATACACACCGTGTATTCGTGTGACTGCTCGTGTATGTGTGTGTGAGTGTGTGAGTGTGAGTGATTATGTGTGTGTGTGAGTGTGTGAGTGCTCGTGTGTGAGAAAGTGTGTGTGTTATGTGTACTCGCCCATGCTTTAAGATAACAACGACACACAGTGTGTGCGTGTGAGTGCTCGTGTATGTGTGTAAGTGCGAGTGTGTGTGAAAAAGAGTATGTGTGTGTGTTTTGTGTACTCGCCTACGCCTTACCATCAACTAGATAAGTGAACACGTCGCCCAACGCTATTTTCGGACCACCAAAGTTAACCATGCGGAACTTGGTCGTTGATTTATAGATCAAAATATACGCCCAGTGCGTCATTGACTGCCGTGTTTTTCTACTTGGTTGTGAGCATCCTACTCGTCCACAGCAGGGCGTGGCGTCTGCAATCTTCTGCTAACGTCATGTTCAGAGTGTTTTCATTGACCATTAGCTCGAGTTGTTTGAAGAAATACAAATGTGACCCGTGAAGAAGATATCGATTTTTAATCAATCTTCACTTGATTGAACTCTGATGATTTTTTAAAATGGACGATGTGTTTAATGAGCAGTTCTAGTGAAGTCTTTAGTTTGACTCGACTTTCGAACATCATAGAGAAGTTTGTAGCTTGACTCGACATTCGAATATTATAGAGAAGTGTGTGACTTGACTCGACATTCGAACGTAATAGAGAGGTTTTTAGCTTGACTCAGCATCCGAACAATAATTTGAAGCTCATATATTGACTCAACATCCGAACACTCAAGAGAAGCTCAGAGCTCAACTCAGTACAAAAGTAGGCCATCCCCAATGACAACAAAGCCTTATCAGCACTTGAGCTAAAAATAGACTGCCCGCAGCCATCTTAAGAAGATATAATCTTTGAGCTTTTTGCTTCGTGGTGTTCCTGGCACCTTCATTAATCCGATCTATAGCAGCTTGACTAATTGGCGAGAATTAACACTAAGCTAGAGTGTTTGTCTAGCCGTGAATGCTAACAGTCAGAAGAATACTAGGGACTTTCCTTTGTCTAGTTCATCCTGTATAACCCAGTGTCAGAAGTATACATTATTAGTCAACAGAACACTATATTAAATCCACACACTGATAAAGAGACTTAAATCATTCCGTTAAAAACCCGGCTATTCAATGGTCATTATGTTGTTTTTTAAAGTAATTTGTATTAGTTTGATCGAGAAAATTGTATATATTTCATGGCGTACGTATTGTTACGTAGATTTATAGAATATAGATCTTAATCCAATTTGAATGAAGTAGTTCATTTCTTTATATTCTAAAATCGGAAGATGACGCCATTAGTGTTGTGTTCTTTCCATAGTGTAAACATGTGGCATGTGACGTTATTGTTTATTGCGTTCTTGTCACAACCATAAACACTTTTGCGGTTGTATAATTAAAAATGTGTTTCTACATTCGAATATGCTTTTATTTTTATTGTTCTCCTATAAATAAAATTTAGGGTATACATTTAAAACATCTAACATATTATTTCAATAAAAGTCCGTATCAAGTTCTCCATATTTTGCTGAAGATACTGATATCTTAGCCTGTGAAAATATTTTGAGGACAGAGAGAGAGAGAGAGATTGACAGAAGTGCGCACATAGGCTTTTATATATTAGGATATATATATATATATATATATATATATATATATATATATATATATATATATATATATATATATATATATATATATATATATATATATATATATATATATATATATATATAAATTTAGGCAATAAATTTATAGGATAATTTTAAAACATGAACATCTTTTTCTAGTCGACCATTATATCACCCTTACTTTTTCACCCTTACTTTTTCTCCCTTACTTTACCATCCTTACTTTACCACCCTTACTTTACCGCCAAAGGAGTGAATGTGTAGCTCAATCAGTGTTGTGGGGGGGGGGGGGGTAGAGTTCATTAGACCCACCATGTCTGCCACTGTTTTTTGTCGTGTTTCACTGCTATCATTAGAGATACCGAACATGGCGCTCTAATGAGTTGAACCAATCAATGCTGGGAATCCGCCAGTAATGGGACTAAGGTTGTTAATTTTTTTTTCAACCTCTAATCGCAGCAGGAAGATTAAGTTGTAATCGAAGTTGTAAATTGGTCGGTAACAGAACTGGTTTGAGGGTTTACAGAGGAGATACATTTTTAATGAAACGTTACTAGAATTTTACTTTTTGAGAATTTACACTTATTAGGAACTTTATCGAAATAGGAATGTGCAAAAAATAAAAATGTGCACAATATTGGAATTTTAAACAAATTATTATAAACGATTGTGAAATAGAAGATTATGTAAGTGTAGATTTAATGACGTTGTTGATTAATGATTAAATTAAAAGTGGCATGATTAGCTTTATATTAAATGAACAAGCACCTTTGTGAGTGTTCCTCAGCCCCCAAAAGTATTATTTTTGTCCAGATGAAACTGTGAGCAAACACGGACAGCCATCGACCGTCCCAGGATCTAATCCTCCCTAGCTGTGTTTCTGGCATGGGGACCTCAGACTTACGTCCCCCTAACTGCCAGTGACTGCCACGCACCGAATTATCGGCAGACGGCTAGCAGACGGGGAAGATTTGGCTTACAAACAAAACTAGAAGCCAAAAAAATCGATTCAATGTAGCTCATTTTTATGGTGGCCAAAAAAGTAATTTCAGATAGGCGTGCGCTGGCTGCGGAACATGGCGCCGTAATCTGGTGAAGCCAATCTGGCAAGTCTAATAATGAGGAACTAAGGAGACATTGGCCACGCTGCGCTGGCTAAAAAAAGCCAAACCTATTTTCGTAAATGGCAATTTTGGAATATTACCTGAAATATAATCTTGTCGGTTTTATCGCTGTAATATTTCCTGTTTCATAGCCTGGGTGTTTAAATCTTAAGCTACAAATTGTCGTACATGGATAAAGCCGCCGGTCGAGTGACGATAAAATAAAATTATTTTGGTCTTTGTTGATTCGTCGGCAGAAATTATTTTAAGATGCAGTTAATTTTTATTGCGACGCTAACCTTAGCTAGAATCCTAAACATGCTCCTGACCTAGGTTTGACCCAAACACTATTGC